AATTCTTGCTCCTGACGTGCTGAAGAATCAGTTCAAACAATTTAGTCATTCAAGTCATTAACATGAGATCCTCCATGATAATAAACATGCTTGAACAACATGAAAAAAGCTGAAAAAACAAATGACAGGAGAGTTCGAACTTTCACTTTGCCACGTGTATCCTGTTAGATGATGATGAACATGCTCCTATTGGTCATAATCGCTGAGTCACTGCTCGTATTACTGGTTTACCAGGGGTTTCCTATCATCATTGTGCTAATCCGGTCCACTCTATGACATGACGATCATGCTGTTTATGGCTGTGGCAGGATCCTCTTTGAGTTTTGAATGGGTTTGAATTCTAATACGTTTGTGTAATACAGCCAATGACAAGAAAACTTTTCACTCTCTTGTCATACTTCACAATATCATGCGATTTGTGATTGATCGTGAGTCATCGCTAACACTCTGGTTGTAGACTAGATAATTAATCGCATCATATAATGAAAAAATAGTAACTACTTATGTCTTGTTTTTGGTCTCAGCAGTTATTTTCTTCTTCTTGTACTTTTAGAAACAAGCGCCGGTATTGAAAATGATGCGTTTCTGTGTTGCAGCAGCAAGCGGCCTCCTGCTAAGGCTAAGAAGTCTCCAGTGGGGAACTGGCTCTCTTTTTTCCACCTGGGAAAATCCCATTCTGTGTCCAAACGTAAACTGAAGCGACACCCCAGTGAGCCTAACGAGATAAAGAGCATTGCACTGCCAGGTCAGCTCACTGCTGCTGTTGCGCAGCCAGAAAACATGCAGCTTCTGTACCCCAAATCTTCATTGCTTCTTTTTTGCATTTTAATTTATTGCTTTCTGATTGATGTATTTATTAGAGATGCTGATTCATTTATTAGGAATATTAATTTGATCAAATGTTTGCAGGGGGAAGAGGAGATAGTGGCACTTTGCGCTCTACCAAAAGTGAAGAATCTCTCACCTCTTTGCAAAATTTACAAGGTAATTAATGTTTAATATTGTCTATTTTCCACACTTCAAACATGCTGCCAGTGGTTTATAATATTTTTGTACAACGTACTACTAAATAATCAGTATAATATGAGTATGATTTTATTCCATCCCAGGGGAGCCTCCAAGTTACCGTCCTCTCAGACCTCGTTCAACTAGCGAGGCCATGTCTCCTGACAGTAAAGACGACCTCCACAATGGCGGCAGTAAACGCGACCGCAAAACAAAACCGCCACACGAGAGTCACGCTGGTGCTGATCGTGTCAGTGCTGCAGCAGGCATTTCACCTCCACACCAGGAGGATGACCTCGATCTTTCTCCACCGGCTGCAGGCATCTCTACGTTAGACTTTGACCCCATGTCTTTTCAGTGCAGCCCACCTCCAGCAACCCCTGGACCGCAACACGGTAAAGATGCAAACAAGTGGAGGAAGAATGTTGGTTGTTCTAGTGAATCAGAGCTCATCTCTTCTCCTAACAACAACAACCTGGCCTGCCTACAGTCTCCAGACATTAGTCCAGTGCTCAGTAAAGGTGTGAGGAAGGTTAGCTACAAGCAGCTCTCCCCTAAACTCAGGAAGAAATCATTTAAGACGCAAGCAGATGTTCAGTCTGCATCCATGTCTCTGCCACCTCAGAGGGTTTCTTCTACCCCAGCGGATAACAGTGACGCTCCACTGGCAGATGGAAAAGGGCCCAAAGCGTCCTATCAACACTGCAGCCCACTCAGCACAGCGAGCCAGGCATCAGCTGTGACAGACCTCACTCCGTCTGCACAGAACATGTCCGATCCAGGTTAGTGCCATTGCTCTTTCACATTGCATACTTGATTTATACTGTAAAGTTAGTGGTTATTTAAATAAGAATGCCTTTCTTAGTTTCTTATGAAAGCTTTTGTGTCTTGTCCCATCACGTCTTACCATAGCTTTGTTTGTCCTGTCATACTGTAGCGTTGTTTGTCTTATCCCTCCCCAGGAACAGATAGACTTATGAGTTCAGTCTCTGTTCTCCCTCCTCACCCTCCCTTGACGAGTGCCGCACGCAAGTTGGCTCTGGCTCTGGCTGAAACTGCCCAAAAGGCCAGCAGCGGCTCCCAAAGAAGAAGCAATGTCCCTGTGCATCCGCTTCACAGACCGGAAGCATCTCACGTCCAGGACAGACCACCACGGCCCTCAGTCCTTGATCTCAAAGCGTATCCCCAGGAGTACAGCGGCTCTAACGTCTCCCCTGCTTCCCAGTGGCAAACATCGGTGCACAGCCCTGCGGAGACCCACTGCTACTCTCATCCTCTTCATTTCCTGCCTCCGCACCTCTGCTCAGAGTCGCTGCAGGTCACCGACGGACAGGAAAGCATGTGCAATTTCACTCCCAATGTCAGTCCGCTCGGGTCAGGGAGCTTGGATGAAGGCAGCGCTGAGAGGAGGGACTGCAGAGAGAAAAAAGAGCTTAGCGATGTCACGCAAACAGAGCACACCTATCAGAGTGTTGGAGTTTCAACACCCACTCAGCCCGTCTACTCGCCTCAGAGCCCATCGCCATCTCCTGGATACGTCAACCCGGACTCGATAAACGTTTTTAATTTCCGCTCCGTTCTGGCAGAGACCTCCATGCCCGCATCCGTCGAGGAGGTGTTTCCGCGTCCATTACAGCCCTCCTTAACGCATCATTACAGCCCAGAAGAGGAGACGCCGCTCGGCATGCTTGAGGATGTCTACGGTAATCAACATTATCATCATCATCATCATCATCACCGACCAGTTCAGGCAGCACGAATGCCTGCACCTCACTGCCCTCGGCCTGATGCTCTGCCGCTTCACCTTTCTGGGCCAAAAGGCTTGTACAGGCAGTCCTCCGAAGGCCGCTACAGCAGTTTAGGTTTAAGGCGCCCTTTGTCACCTCAGTACAGACGATACCATAGAGATGAGCACCTTATCAGTGGCTGCCACAGGCAACAAGGCCAGTGGCAGAGGTCAGATGATAGAGTAGTCGGCCACCCGGCCATCCGCAGGGCTCGCTCCTTCCATGCCCCTCAGATTAGTCACTACGAGTTGGCAGAGACAGAAGTCCTGCCCCCTGACACCATGTTTTATGTCGAGCAGACAGCAGGCCAGGAAGCACCTTATCAGAGGCTGATTCAGACCGGTCTTCACCCTGTGCGGCCGCAGTTTGAGAACACACACGCTGACTACCACTACAGCCCCTATTCAAATGTGAACCCTGCAGATGGCTCTCGCTATTACGCAGAGCCCTGCCGGCAAAGCGGCATCCGACACAGTAAGTCTTACACCGTGCGTTCCACAAGAGAAAGCGGACAATCAGATTACTACAACTACTCTCCTCAGCGCGTCCCCCCTGTGAACAGAGAGCTTTTCATAGAAAGCAGGGACACTGTTGTTTATGAGGCGAGAGACGCAGAAGTTTTCGAAAGAGTCTTATATCAACCAGTCGTGCAGGAGAGTAAATCCAGACACAAAAACACATATCCAGCTGCGTCTCCTTGTGAGAGTCCCATCTCGCTTGCTGACACAAGAAGTAGAGACATCGCACACACGAGAAGCAAGTCAGACCCTGGAAATGCCTGCCTCCTTTCCGCTGACAAGATGGAAAGACAAAATGTTATCCTTACATCCCCGACTTCCCAGAGGTCCCAAGCGGTAGACCCCGAGGTCACCAGGCGGCAGCGCGTTCACCGCTCAAGCGCGGACTCGGGGCCTTCCAGGCGGATTCACATCAAAGAGCGTTCCTCTCAGCAGCCATCGCTTCGCAAAGTCCCCTCGCTCCCGGAAAGAGGCTGTCCTAACTTTAAGACCGTCGAGCACAACGACAGAAGCCATACGCGAGGTCATGACCAGGATCGATTAATGACGACCAACGCTGTCAACAGCTACTCTGGTATGGTGAAACCCAGCATCCTCAGGAGACCCGGGAGGTCGCAGAGCACCAGAGAAAACCGTCACTACTACCACTACCACGCCAAATCCCAAATGGATCCCGAACATCTGGGATCCTTTTCCAACAGAAGGACTCAGAGCACTAAAGTCAGGCCCACACAATATGACCACATGGAGGGGTATTACGCAGCACCCAGGCCTAAACCCACAAGATCCGTTAAAGCCGTGGCAGGATATCTGCCTGGCCAGGGCTGCATGTCGCCCCGCGGGCACAGACTGTTGTCCCAGGCTCTGGGTCATGAGGCTTTTTATCACGCTGCTCTGAGATCAGAAGCCGGGGTCTACGAGTGATTCTGACCACTGTTTTGTTTTTTGTTTTTTTTATCTGATTCCACATTGGGGCCAAAGGAGAACAGCACTTTATCCTCAGCCAGACCAACAGACTGTTGCTTTGAAAGTGTGTTTATTTTAACCTTCAGGAGCTGCTACAAAAAGTGTGAAGTGAGGCTGCTGCTGGGGATCGTACTGCCAGCGTTAGTGGTAGTTTCATATTTTTCCAGTGGCTTCCAGGGAAGCTAGAAGGCAACAAATGAATCGTATGCAGGCGTTGTATTGAATGAAAAGAGTGTAAACACTAAGACGCATGACGAGAAGAAAATGTGTTTAAAAAAAGAAGAGATTTTATTTAATGTCTAAGCAACACAACAAGGGATGACAAGGTAAATTAACTGGTTTTATGAATATGATTTTAAAGTTTAGAATGTGTATAAAATAACAGTCATTTTAAACGTATATTTCTATAAATAACACACATCTAACATGTGGCCAATGTACTGTACATTTGTTTTTTATTCTGGTCTGCTCAGACTTCAACAAGCACTTTTAAGGATAACTGTGTACGAAACACATTGTCTTAACGTGGTATACATGAAGCCTCTTGATATACAGCGTATCTATTTTTTCCTGTAAGAAACGGCTTGCTCAGAATCTTTGTTTGAATTCCAAATTAGCACTTTTTGGGAGGGTCGGTGAAACGGAAGATAACCTCATGCTTTCTAACTTTGCGCTTCTTTTTCTTTATCACGCATTGTGTATTGCAAAATGACAATGAGTGCTATGATTTTTGATTTCGTATTCTCTTTTTCTTTCGTTAAGGTCGAACGCACCGCGGCAAAATATGCTTGAGATGTACATGCGAGTCAGCTCATGCGGTTCGGTGAAAGTGTATTTTGTGCGGCATCGTGCTTTGGTCGCGTAATGAAAGTTTCTTCGCTCTTCATGGGGAACTTTTAACAGTGTGGTGTTTTACATGTTTTATTCATTTAAAGATGCTCTTTTAAATTCTTAATGTAGACGAGGATATTCTGTTAAGACATGTTAATTGACTTATTTTAGTGAAAGTAAAGAAAAAAAATAAAGATATATTATCAATGATTACAGTGCGTCAAACTCTTATTTCATGGATATATTTAGAGGACATGACTTAAGGCACTGTATATGCATCTTTTTGCTTTACTTTACCTTCAACCCTTACTCATTAGTGTTAACTTCTAAAAATGGATGCTTAGTAACCAGAGATATTACTTTCTTCGTGCGATTTATCGATACATGGCACCTACATTACCCACAATGCAACAATAGGCCGCAGTGCTGTCGAAGAACACACTTTAATGGCTTTCATCTAAACTAATTAATTTCTAGGGGTCTCTACAGTCTTGGAAAAACAATTCTGCTTGATACGAGATATGCCTTTTTGTAAATTATTACCACTAATTGTAACCTTAAAAATTGCTTTTGAGGTCTAAATTGGCCTACGGTTCATACTTGGCACTTATGTTTTTGTTTCTAAGAGACAGGCAAACACTAAAAAAAAAAACCAGTCTAAAACAAAATGTGTAGATGTGCACCAGTGTAACAGGTGTTTCTCTATAATGCATCCATTAGGAGGGTGAGGCTACAGAGGTCTGGTAAGCTCACGTCTTTCTAGCTAAACACTTCCTGACATTTTTGTTTTTCTTGTTTTCATACTTTTAATTTTTCACTAAAAGCTAAGTCTGATTTTGGTGCCATTTACAAGATTTTGCTGAGTCACAAAAGGTTTACGACATATAAGTGACTTGCAAATTGACATTTTATGTGTAAAGTCAGTTTCCCAGGAATTTAGTTTATAACGTGTGATTCCGTTATGAATCAGCAGGCTGGGGTTTGGAGAAAGAAACTACTGGAGCACTAAAAAAAAGCATTCCAGGATTTGAGCTAATAGACTATGAAACATGCAACTTCATCCCACCAGGTTTAATAGTCAAAACAACATTTTGTGTCAATAGTGTTCTTAAGCAAACTGGGGAATTTCAAAGCTTTTCTGTCCAGTTAAGCAGGCATTATGGAAATACATTATGAAGCGTCGTTAGTCAAAGAGTCTACTAACTATCTACTTTTTTTAAAGATCTGAGATGTGAAAAAATCAAGAAATGTGATGTTTTAAATCGATTTCTAAAATGCTGTGAATAAATAATGCAGTTATTTAAATAAATATGTATTTATTCCATCTTTCTTATTCTGACCCTCAGGCAGAAAGTCCCAGAGCTTGGAGCAGTTTTAACAGTGGCGTGTGCTCACCACCAGGTGGCACTGCAGCACTGCAGAAACAACATAAGCTCCTACTGCATTCAGGGGAGATCACAGACTTTGATTTGCTTCTCAGACATCTCATATCTGCTCAGAAACACTGCAGAGGATCCTGACTATTTTATTGCTTGTATTGCTTTTGAATTTCTGTGGTTATTAAAGAAAAATACCTGGATGTGATGTAGAAATGTGTAAAGAGCTCATTTATTGACAAAGATATGCTCTTCCAGTTAGCTGTAGTAGCGAAATTAGCTGTAGAAGACGAGCTTTAAAAGCGAGTGTGATGCTGTACTTATATACCTTAAGCTTGTAGCCACAGAAAGCCCATTTAAGCCATGGTTTAAAGAGAGTTGAGGGCAGTAGAATAATCAGAGGGAATCAGCCAAGGTTGTCCAAAGTGTCTGGGGAATTGTTGCATTGTTAGAAATTATTAAAGTGTTCCCCACCAGATCAAAACAGCCTCCCATTCACAGCTGACTGAAAGGCTCGGTCTTTGGCAAAAACCATTAAGAGAGCCTGCGGACTCTAGGCAATGTCTCCTGGCAGCTCTGCATTGCTCCTGGAGCAGCGAGCCATTGTTTATTCATCGCCACATTGGCATTCAAAGTGCATCCTCACTGTTCTCTTTCATAACCAACAAGTTGCAATTTTTATGCATGTGAAGGTTGAAGTCAAATTATTTATGGGAGACTGGACCTGAGGAAGGCACACGGCCTCTAGCAAAATGGTTTACGTTGAGAGCAATCCTTTTCTATAGGCTATTGAATTCGCTGGATCACAGCAAGATGTGCATGTATTATTCAGCTTTTGAGAGAAAGAATTGTTGCCCTGCTAGACTGCCATCTGCTTTTTGGACATTGTGATGCATCTGAGGCATGCTACCCTTCAGGATTAGGTTAAAGTCTTATTTTTCAGCATGGGGACAAATGAAATGAGTGGGAAAAAAAGGATGGGCTTTTCTAGCGTCCCTCCCTCGAACTTTTCACCGCCCCTCATTGCAGGAGGCTTTCAAGTGCAAAATACATATATATCAGAGGGGAAATTGCATGAGCAGGTCTCGCTGCACCCGAATTGGAAGAAAGAGGCAGAAGAAGCTGAGGTTCAGCTGCGAAAGGAAGGAACTTTCACCTGTATGAGAAATTATTCAAGAACATCTGGTGGAGTCCAGATGCAGAGATGGAATGTGTGAGGCGTGTGGTGCCAAACGCCAGCAGGTGCAAGGTGAAAGGACTCTCACCTCTCCAGGGGCAGGTGATCTGCAGGATAATAGTTACCCACTACTCTTAGGAAGACGCCTCTTCAGAGTTGAACAAAATTGTGCATTACAGACTCTTTACATTCTGAGCGAACAATTTAAAATCCTTAATGGTTCTGACTGTGACTGCAGTCAGCAGATCTATTAGTAATATAGCACATGGCAGGAGCTGCGTTTCTCTGGTTCACAGCACTTTAGTGGCTCCATAAAGAACCATTTTTGGTTGTTCATTACAGTGTAATGTTCCATTACAAAACATTATTGGAACTTTATGAATGTACACTTCCTCATTGTTTCTTTGATGGATCTTGACGGTGAAGTGCAGAGCATATTTAAATAGCAAAACACTGCAGTAGGAGCATCCAGTTCAAAACAAACCAAAAAAACAACGACCCTCCTTTAGAAAGATATGCATCCAGCTGGAGCTTATTTATGAATACATATCATCAGCCTAAATAACGGAGAAGTTTTTTTTTTTCCCTTTTTGTGAATATGTATAAAGACGCATTGTCTTTTAACCCTCTCAGGCTCAAATTAAACTTTTTATTGCTAATGCACAACCAAGTCCTGCAGTGGTACTTCTGAGTAAGAAAAACTCATAAAATACGTATGTGGGGTAATCAGGTTGTTAGTTTTTAACTGTTGCAAATCGGCAACGCCTGCCTCGAGAGGGTTAAAAACCTGCTCTCTGTATATAGATAGCAGTGTGTGTGATGGCCTTAAAATAGATGTTTTAGTGAGCACATGAAGCAGCACCTGATCTTACTCTAAGCTAAAACATCAGTTTCGGGTGCTTTCCCTTGTTCGTGCAACAGAGGAACATCTGATCCGCGTTCTGCCATTCTGGCTCGGTGCCACCTTGTCCTTCTTGGCGACAGTTTGGAGATGAGCGGCGCAGATCCGACTTTGGGTTTCTGTTGTGTTTTCAGCATCTCGCTGATTGGGAGACGCTGCCATAATCACCAGTGTACTGAACATTTTGTATACTTGTTAGCAAAACCCAGAGTATCTCCTCTGATAAGAGAAAGTTCTAAGAGATCATCTTCGTCTCACTTAATTAACTAGTTAACATGACAATGGATTCGCGTTTAATTAAAGCAGCCAAGAGAACCTTGTTAGTACTTCAGATAACCAATTAGGCCCTGGCTTTGGGCAGAAATATATATTTTATTCAAGTGTATCCATGGTTTTAGAAAATGAAAATCAGACGCTTTTTAGAGGGAGTAGTGGTGGCAGGGTGGAGGGGAACAGGGACAATGCTTAGTGATTGAATAAGTGATTAGACCTCAGGTTTACACAAAGGCTCCTCACTTGCAGTAATGGCTGCCTGTTAGGGCTTAGTTCTCTAATTTGACATTCACATGCATATCAAAAGCGACTAAGCAACTGGAAGACTGTGTGCTGGCCCATACAATGCAAGGCGCAGTTTGTGTTGCAAACAATGCTCTTGACCTTTAACTGATGAATAATAGCCTGAGAAACAGAACGTAATTATCCAAGGCAGTAGGGCTGGTTCAAAAGGTAACCACTAGTTGAGTAAGCTTTAGCCATGTGAATCCACTTGGGGCGTTTATCTGTAAGCGATATATCTGTTATTATGGAGCATATCTGCGTACCGGTGATTACAGTTCGATGATTTTGAATTTAACAGATTTTAAACTCATAAGGCGTCACTAATGAGGAAATGGGGACAAAAGACAAATAAGTCAACAGGTTCTGCGCTACTGAGGAAAAGGTTTTGTTCATCAGAGACGAAGAAGAAAAAATAAAGGCCACCATCTGGATCAAGGAGCATTCAGTGTAACCATCAGATAAAAATCCAGCAAAGGATGCTTACGCTCAGTTGTCTGGTTACTGTTATTGTTCCACTGCCACAGGTGGACATACCTCACTTCTGGTAAGTTATGGTTGGTCGGTGACTGTAAGTCAGATATATATCATGACATGCATGATGAAGACCTCGTGGAAAAAAATCTATAGCTCTGCACAAGAGTTATTCCATCCATGCAGTCATTTAGCAAAGCAGAAACAGGAGCCCGTAGTGCTCCGGGCTCCACCTCATGCTATTTCACAACCATTTAATTTATACATTTAAAAGCTGAATTTAATTTTTTACATTAAGAAACAAAGCATGCTTGGGTATAATTTATCTTTCTGACATGCCCTTTCTTAAAGCGGACCAAATCAAATAGGCTTTGAGGCGGGGCAGGCAAAGGGTTTTGTTTGTCAGGTTCCAGCAACCAGCAAAATTCTTACGTAACATGTAATATGGTTAAAAGTAAACTAACTACATTATGCCTCCCTCTGCTGTTTATTTTTCCCACATAACTTACATGATATCAAATTCAATATGTGGAGACCTTGTTTTCGAAACCTAATTCCTACATTAAAGGTCGGCACACAGTTCACAAAGCCTTAATATAAAATATTTTTTGCAATTAATTAAAGGTAAATAATTGAGACATAGAACGCCTTAACTCGGAAATGTAGAAAATTACCCCAAACAACAAAATGCTGTCATTATATGTGGTGCAGGAAGTGGCAAACTACC